TAGGGGCCTTTTATTTAGCTGTCCTTTGCTTTCTGCAGCATGAGTGGGCCTGATACGTGAAGTGTGAGTGGCACGATGTAATTAAAGTTTCAGAGGCAGTAGTGTTGTGGTGAAGAGCTCAGTCTCTGGAACCAGACCACTTCACTCCCATCTGGCTCCACCACCGACTCAGAGGCCCGTGTACTCCCTTAACACCTCTGCACCTCAGTTTCTTCACCTGCAAATGGACGATGATAAAGAGACCTGCCTTGTACTTTGCTGGGTCCTTAGGATCACCCAATGAGGCAATGCTTGTAAAGTAATTAAAATAGTGCCTGGCTACAGGGTGTTACCACACTTGTTAAAGAAATGAAGAATAAGCACACATTCTGGTCCAGTTCTCTAAAGTTGTGCCCTATTCTCCAGGGTCTCAGATTGAATCCTTTTCTAAAATGAGGAAACATTTCGTAAAGTTTTGTAAACATTTTGTAAAGATATTTATTTCTGATGTAATGCATTGTAAATCTGAGTTTTCGTACATTGAATCTGGATAAAGTGATAGGTATGATACAATTTGTTGTATTTCCATTCCTAATATAAGAATGTTAAAATTTTTAAAAAGGAATAATAGCTAACCTTTGTTTAGCACTCGCTAGCCTGTTTGTGAGGTGCTATTTCCTGTGGCGTTGTATGTAGTAACTAAGTCTTAGTAACTCTCTACATTAATCACTGTCATATTTCCCATTTTACAGTGAGGAATCTAGGCACACAGTGGTTAATTGCTTGCCCGAATTCACACACCCAATCTGTTGTGCACCTTGATTCTGTATTCCTAGCTGCCATTCAGGTTGTGTACTCCCTATTCTGAAGGGTTCTCAGGCAGCTGTACAACTTGTTGGGGGCTGGAAGGTAGGGATTGTTACAGGAGGAGCCTGAAGCGTTTGATTGGGCGTACTGTCAGGGCCTTGGCTGTAGGTGACGGAACTGGACTTGTTGAGCAGAAAAGGAACTTATCCATCTGCACTGCTAAGCTCACCAGTTCCACCAGAGGCTGAAGAGGAGACTGGAACAGATTCAGGGAGACAAAAGCCCTGCCCCAATTTGGGAGGCCCCAGCTCACTCAGGGCGCTTAGAACACTTGGAACGAGTTCCAGAGGGCCCTTCCCTGCCTCCCTACCTGCAGATTCAGAGGCTGGCAGGAGCATGTGATTGGCTGTCTGCATGCCATGCGTGCCACATTTCTATCACTTGTCTTTTTGGGAGTGCCTGCTCTTCCCCGCCGCCAAAATCAGAAGAGATTTGAAGTAACAGGCAGCCAGGATGACAAGTGCCCTCTCCTTTGGGGGCTTCAACTAGATGCTCCCCACGTGATCTGCCAGCCACAGGATTCCGTGATTTTACTTCTGATGAGGACTGGGGCTGTTTTTCTTTCCTGTAGCACCTGGAACGCAACTCTGTACCAATTAGACCTCCGGTGAATGTGCTTCACAGAGTTTAATGAGACTGTTAGCCTTTGGCATGCAAGAAGAGAAGGGTACACACTTATTTATAGCATCTAGCTTTTTGATTCAGAACAGACTGTTTCAGCTGCCGAGATCCTTTTGTTGATCAGGAGAACAGTTGATATTTATCATTCCTCTTAGCAAAAGGAGGACAAAAAACCATTTAAACATTTAATGTTTAAGTAGTTAGTGTTTAAGTACTTACTAAGTTTATTTAAGTACTTAGTGGTGATATTGCAACTTATTGGTTGAGTAGGGCTGTTAGAACGATCCTCATTTTTGATTATCTACCGTCTCTCCACATACCGGCTCCCGGTGCCTCATTTCAGCCACTGTGATCATTCTCATCTCCTCCTCCTCCATCCCTCATTCCCATCCCCAAGTCAGTTTCTAGGCACTGCTGGCTTTTCACTGCTTAGCATCCTCCATCACACTTGCCCTCCCCCACTTAGTCCCAGCCCGTTCCTCCTAGACCTGGGTTAGGTCTCTCCCACCACCCTGTCTTGCCTACTTGATCTCAGCATGCTGCTTTCATTTCTGCCTTCCCGCTGTGTGCCTTAAAGGCACAGTGACACCTTCCTCAGTACAGCAAAGCAGCTAAGAGGGCCCTGGGTTCAGGTTCAGATTCCAGGTCTGCCGCTTGGTGTCCGCACTAGTGAGGAGTGTATTCAGATGTCATTAACAAAACCAGCATGCAGTGGCTTAGCCAAAGCGGAGTTTATTTGGTTCAGCCTACAAGAAGCCTGTGAGAGGCTGGTGCAGTAGCTGCAGCACCTCATGGCATCAGGGCCACACACTTACTTTCTGCTCAGTGTTCCTGGCCACCCTACTTCCGGCTTTGAAGGGGCAGGGCTGAGGGCAAAGTGAGTGCTGGCAGAGAATGCCCTGCTTTTAAAGGACTCTCCTGGAGGCCTCACCCAGCCCCTCCTGCCAATGTCTCATGGCGTAGGATGAGGCCCGCAGCCAGCCCTGAGCTGAACACATTGCCCATGTTCACCTTGCTGAAGGTCTTCGGATGCCCACCTTGTGCCATCGCCAAGCACTAGGTGCTTATTAATGCTTAGTACTTTACTTTTAAATAGACTATGTTTTTGTCAGAACAGCTTTTCACAGTAAACCAACTAGCATATTTACTGTGTGACCTCTGTATATGCCATTTAAAATTCTAGAATTCTTTTCTCTCCTCTCCCACCACCTCACTTTACCTTTACCCATTTATCACCTTCACTGCAGCTCCTTGTCTCCAGGTCCCCAGCTCCCTGCCCTCCCTCCTTGACTGTCCATGAATCCTGAGCATCCCATCATTTTCCTCTGCTCCTGCACTGGCCACCTAGCAGCACGAAAGAAGGTGGCAACACAGTGGTGCAGGCTCCACTGCATGCTCGCACCAGTCTCTGAGCTGACCCTGCTGTGACCCTTCTGTCCCCTTTGGTGGAAGGGGCTTTTGTTGTTGTTTAAACCTTTTTCTATTTTTTGCGTTGTTTTTCTTTTTCTGCCTTTTCTTTTCTTTTCTTCTTTTTGACAGGGTCGTCTTGCTCTGTTGCCCAGGCTGGAGTGCAGTGGTGCGATCACAGCTCGCTGCAGCCTCGGCCTCCTGGGCTCAAGCTATTCTGCCTCCTCAGCCTCTTGAGTAACTGGGACTACAGGTGTGCACTACCACACCCAGCTAATATTTTTTACCTTTTTTGTGGAGACGGGGTCTCGCTATGTTGCCTCAGCTGGTCTGGAACTCCTGGCCTCCAGTGATCCTCTTGCCTCAGCCTCCCTAAGTGCTGGGATTACAGGTGTGAGCCACTGCGCCCAGCCACCTCTGTTCTTTTTAAAACCTCCTGCCACTATTCTTTTCTTTTCCTCCTAGCACCCACCTCATTCCATCTTTACAGAGAAAACTGGCTGGGCCCGACAGGGCCTGCCATTCTCTCCTCCTTGTCTGGAGGACCTTGCCTCCCTAAGAGAAGACCTCTCAGCAGGAATACATTTATTCCAGGGACCTGGCTCCCTCTAGTCTTCTGGGACCTAATTTATCTCCCCAGGGTCTTCACTCTGCATGCTCGTTCTGCTCATGGTAGCGAGAGGCTTGAGTTGCCTCTATGAAAAATTAAGCACATAGATGAAGAGCCCTTCTTCACCCCACACATCCCTGCTTCATGCCTCATCTCCATCTTTTCTTTGCTTATTGGTCCCCATGGCCTGTGTTCTCCTCCCATGTCCCCCAAAGCCACATTGCAGAGCTTGTCACCCAGTCGATTCGGGTGGTTTCTTGGCCTCTGTTGCCGCTGGTCCCATTGGCCCCTTCCCGGGGCCTTCTCTGTGTTGTGACACTGCTGTCCCAGCTCCCTTCTTTGCCCTCCTTTCCAGATCCTTTTGCTCTCCCTTTCCGCAGTCTGGATCCTACTGCCTTCTCTCTGAATACTCTTCTGGACTGATCTGATTTCTTCCAGTAACTTCAGCTCTTTTCTCAAATGTTTGTCTTCTGTTAGATCTTTCTCTTGAGGTCCCAGAATGTCTCTGGTAAATTACCTCATGATGCCTCGAACTCAGCATTTCACATGCCAAACTCGTTCATGACAACTTCCTTCCCCATTCTCCCTTTCTCCTAAAACAAAACAAAACAAAACAACCCACAAAAACCTCCCCTTCTCTCCCCTTCTCTCAAACACACACACTCACTCACTCACTCACACTTGTGCATACACAAGGGCCTTCTGTGGCATGGATTTTCCCCCAGGTATGCAGGCCAGAAACTTTGGGCACCTCCTATGCCTCCCCAGTCCCCACATGCTTCCACGGGTGACCCGTCCTTGCTGATCTAACCTTGGACACATTTCTTGATTCTGAAGCCCCCGGACCATTCTGTCCACTTTGTTCCTGGCCTGCCTCCATCAAGGTCTTCCTCCTCACCCCACTCACCCCAGTCCCCCACGATCTTCCTAAAGCTCTAATGTCATCATGTCACCCTGTGCAGGGACCAGAGGCTCCTCGCTGACCAAGAGGGAAGTCCATTTGTAGATTACTCACCACGGCAGGCAATGCACCAGTACTGAGAAGATAAAGAAGTTGTGGTTTCTGTCTTTGATGGTTTCTCACAGTGGGGCTGGGCTGGGGAAGGCCCAGCTCAGTTTCCGTTCTCCCTGATGCCATTCCTGATTCCTGGGATCACTTCACCACAGTCCTGTTTCTCGCCCTTGGGGCATTCCTGAGTTTGGCTTTGTATTTGTGTTGTTGATGTATTTGCCTCGTTGATGTATTTGCCTCTTTTCCTGTGCCAGATACAAAGCTACTCAAGGGCAGGGATTGTCACAACTTTGGTCAATTGTGGGTTGTCCTGCCCACCGGCATGGTGCATTATCCTGTGTAGGGACTCCGTAGGAGCGCTTTGGTGGAGGATTATGTTTTAAGCTTTCCAGGGAAGCAGATTTGATGGGACTTACCTTAGCGTGCATGGACACCAACTCACGCTTGTGCAGTTGCGGCGCCAGTGATTCTCAGATGTCTGCTTTGTTTTTCTCTCCCACCCAGTGCCTAGAGAGAGCCATGAAGTTTGCCTTTGAGGAGTTCCACCTGTGGTACCAGTTTGCTCTGTCCCTGATGGCTGCTGGAAAAGTGAGTCCCCTTTGTGATGGGCAGTTTTTTATGCCTATCCTATTAAGGCCAAAGAGGTTAATGTCAATGAATTGCACGGAATGATAGACTTTATGGAAGTCTTTCGAGCCGCTCTGGGAAACTATCCTGGTCCACTCTCAGTGAACAGTCAGATTTAATCGTCTGGGAAGCCAAGATGGACTTATCACTGAGAAGAAAAATTCTGAAATATTTGTCTCTTTCTAGTCATTGTGACTTCATCAGGTGTCATGGGCATGGCTTAAACTAGAGCTAATGTTTTACATTCAACTGAGAGTTAAGCTATTTCCTGGAGGGGAAACCTGTTGGTTATCTTGAGCAATGTGTTATATTAGTCAGTGCATGATACTGAATGAAAATGTGGGCTGAGGGAGTCCAACGGCAGGATGGAAGGTTGGTGCTGCTCCCCCAGCTGAGTGACCCAGGCAAGTTACTGAGTAGCTCAGTTTCCTCGGTCGAATGGAGTAAGAACAGCACCCACTCTGTAGGTGTGTTATCAGGGGAATGAGATGCTACGCTGTAGGTGTTTAGAGGTGCGTTCCTTGCTGTGTATACACTCAACAGAGGTGGTAGCTATTGTTTTTCTTGTTAATTTGGGCCATTTAGCGAATGAAGCCTGAGATAGAAGATTATTTGAGCTAAGTGAATTCAGAAATTTAGTATTCTGTGCCTTCAACTGGATATTTATCTTTTATAGGAACAAACTTCCACCATCTTTACATTTTTCTTAATTTTCCAATAGCTACACAAGTATGGGATGAAATTCAGGTGGCACCAGGGAAGCATTCCTGCTGGCTTTTAACCCAGCATACTCCCCAGTCCCTCAGAAGCCACAGGCTCTGGTTTTCACATGCCCCAGGCCCCCGCTTGCTTGGGTTTAAGGTTGGAAAAGCCCACGAGGAGGCCACCCTGACCAAAACTCCCTCTGAGAAGGCTGTCGTATTCGGTTCTGTCAAACGCTTTGAGTTTCACAGAAATAATCTTCTCTTGCCAAGTCTGCCCGTGCCGTGAAGGTGCTGAAAGAGTGTATCCGCCTGAAGCCGGACGACGCCACCATCCCTCTCCTCGCTGCCAAGCTCTGCATGGGCTCCCTGCACTGGGTGAGTAGGGGCGCTCCCCTCCCTGCTCCTGCAGAGGACTCCAGGCCAGTCCTGCCCATTTTTTTCATGTTGAGGCACAGAGAGAAAGCGAGGGTGATTCATCAGCTACACAAGGACAAGATACAAGACCGTGTAGAGCCACGGAGCCTGGGCCTGGGCCCCTGGCCTCCTCGGGCCTCATCGACCCCACCCAAGGACTGAGGAGTACTCTGGGGTACTCCAGGGGTTTTTTCTATGGGATTGTGCTCCAGGAATAATGATAATAAGATAGAACCATAATTCATACTCCCATACATCTTGCTTTATTCAAGCAATGTGGGACTGAGAAGAGACACGTGACTGAATTAGCATCCCTGGCTGAGCCTGGTTTGTTTTTGCTTTCGTTTTTGCTTTTGAGACAGGGTCTTGCTCTGTCACCCAGGCTGGAGTACATGATGGCTCACTGCAGCCTCAACCTTTTGGGCTCGAGTCATCCTTTCACCTCAGCCTTCTGAGTAGCTGGGACTACAGGTGTGCTCCACTGCACCCGGCTAATTTTTGTATTTTTTGTGGAGACAGGGTCTCACTCTGTTGCCTAGGCTGGGAGCCTGGGAGTTTCTAAAGAGCAAGGAGTCACCCTACATTTCAGCTCATATGTTAAATTCAACTGTCTTCATTTCTCTTCCTTCACATACACATTTTTCTTCAAATATTCTTGTTCAAATTTGAATTTGGCAATAGCCTGATTTGTAACAATTCTAGTACCTCAAAAAAATACATCATTTGAGTAGAAAATAGAAAACTCAGTCTAATTGCCGAGATGGTGGTATAGATAATTGCCACATACGATAGAGTTCTAATTTCTTTTCTTTAACTTCATGTCAACATTAGCAATAAAAACGATTTGCTCAAAAAAGACCAAAACGTCTTACAAGCTCAGGTTTTTCACCCTTATGTCCTTGCTCTTTGTTTTTTTCCACATATTCTCACCCAGTAGGAGAAAAGTAAACCTAGCGAAGAGTGTTCCAGTTTAGTTCCATTTTGCTTGGGAAAATGTAGAAAAGATGTTTTGAAAGCACAGGCTCTCACCTGAAACGCACAGCTGTGAAGGCGTAGTGTGGTCATGTGGGTTTTGACAGTTTAGGGCTGTGAGCAGGCAAGGGGATGGCGCAGGCGCTCCAGGAGTGGGCAGGCGGAGGAGTGGACACAACTTTCGCATTTGGAACATGCCAGTTCCCAGCAGTGACTACTGCCCTCCTCCCAGCTCTGGCTTTATTTATTACTGTAACATATACATCTTGAAATGCCTTAAATAGACTTCTTTTTTTTTTTGAGACGGAGTCTCGCTCTGTTGGCCAGGCTGGAGTGCAGTGGCGCAATCTCGGCTCACTCCATTCTCCTGCCTCAGCCTCCCGTGTAGCTGGGACTACAGGCGCTTGCCACCACACCCGGCTAATTTTTTGTGTTTTTAGTAGAGACAGGGTTTCACCGTGTTAGCCAGGATGGTCTTGATTTCCTGACCTCGTGATCCGCCTGTCTCGGCCTCCCAAAGTGTTGGGATTCCAGGCGTGAGCCCCCGCGCCCGGCCAGACCTCTTTTTAAAAAAAAAATATATATATATATATATATATATAGGAGTAACAAATCTTTTCTGTATATTTTTTTCTTGCATTTTTATTATTAAAATTTCTAAACACCACAAAACTCAAGAGTATATGAACTCCAGTGTCTTATCACCCAACTCAATATCATCAACGTTTGCCATACTTTGAAGGAACAAATCTTACTATTTTTGCCTCTAATGAATTGTGCACCAGGTCTTCTTGTGGGTGTAGTTTACAGGTGCACATTTTCTCATTGGAATCTGCTGGCACAACGTACATGTGTTGAGGTTTGTAAAATAAGTGGATGGAGTTTTGAAATTTAGAACAGTTCATGGCAAAGAGAATCCAAGCCTAAATGGATTCTTTATATCCTGGGGGGAAAAAAGAAAGGCTCAAACATAAAACATTCCAAGAACTTTATTCTTTACAAATATATTCAGTTCAGCTTCTGAATACCTAGCACAACTTCATTATAGAACCAATCAGTAAAAAATAAAGATAAAAAAGAGAGACCCCCACCAAATATGAAAGCAACTTTGGAAAAGAAGGCAAAGAAGCAGTAAGGAAAACTTTAAAGAGAAAAAGCAAGATAGGAATCCTGCGAACTGTTAAGAGAGGCTCAAGAAAGAAAACAGAACCACCAGAGTGGGATTGGGAGATTTGGGAGTCATTTTCCAAGTGACTCATCAGAAATCCAATTTTGGCAGCAGATGCTTATGGGAACTCATGTTAGAAATTCTGCAGGTTGTTGTTGTTTTTAACTTGTCTCATTTTGCAGTTGGAAGAGGCTGAAAAGTTTGCCAAAACTGTCGTTGATGTGGGAGAGAAAACGTCAGAGTTCAAGGCCAAAGGCTACTTAGCTCTGGGGCTCACGTACAGTCTGCAGGCCACTGACGGTGAGAGACGTCCCACCCCCAGGGCTGCTGAGCTGCAGGGCTGGACTGCCTAAGTCTACACTGCAGGATTCCCACAGTCCCCTTCTGTCTCAGGAGGGTGCAGAAGCTGGGGCATTCTGCTGTGCTGTTCGGTGGGGCCCCTGGTGCTGCTGTCTTCTTTGCTTGGTCTCATGAGAGAATGGGAGGGCAGGGAGGAAGGCCCTGTGCCAGGGCTCCCAGGCCTCATATTCAGGTACATTATGCTGGTGGTGCACTGGGCACCTCGCTGGGCTTTGCAGGATGATTCCCCCACCCAGCCTGGCACCTGCCCCTGTCCTACCACTTGGTCTGGGCTGTCCTGTGTGAAGGGATGCTGGATCTTAGGTACAGGAATGTGGAAGAGTCGGCCAGACACTTCCAGGAAGCTTTCCTTGACTGGTCAGGCAATGCCCCTTCTCCATTTGCACATTTGAATTTGTAGATACGTACATGTGCAGTGCAGCAGCTCACAAGACCCCTAGGGGTCTTGGAAACAGTGATTTTGGATGTGCTTAGAGTTCTGATGGATGGGATTCTAGCTAAGAAAAAATCTTGTATACTTAAGTTTTCAGTGATATTTGCAGAAAGTTTAACAAACTTTTCCTGAACTATTACTGTTCTTTTATCATGTTGTTGTTAAATGTAACACAAATGCAAAACAAAAATCTCAGAAACAAATAGATAATTTAATGAATTTGAATTAGTATAAGGCAAAATATCTTGTAGCCGTTAGCCTGCTCAGAAGCTAGAACCTTGCCAGCCACCTGGGGAGCCCTCCATGTGCACCTCCCAATCACAAACCCCCTTCTCTCCCTTAAGAGGAAATACTATCCTGACTTTTATAATACTTCCTTTTTTTCTTTATGGTTTTGTTGTAATTTATTTTACAAAGTACTCCAAATTCTTTTCTCTGCCCTAAAATATCAAAGGTCCTGGGGAAGTTTTGCATATTAATTGCTTTTCAATATGGATTACTTGCTAATTTTCCATATACACATGATACATTGGCAATACCCAGCACATAGCTTTTGATATAGTAGACTTTGAGTGAAGGGCAAATTTAATGCCACATATTAACCTATGTAAATTCTTAGTTCATACTCTACCCCTCATTACTCCTGCAACTTTGAGAGAGTTGCTTGACCCTGTGGGGCTTCCTCTTCCATTCATGGGTCAGTTGGGGCCTTTTGAGGTTCTCTCTAGCTGGGTCACTGCTGTTCTAAGTTACGTTAGCCATGGTCTCCAGCCACATTGACCCCCTGGCAGCCTTTCACTGCTCTCAGTCTCATGCCAGGCTGGGAGGTGCCATGTTGGAGGCTTTAGGTAACGGCCTCTTGCAGTTCCAACCATAAACAGTTTCCTCCAGGACTTTTTCTCTTGCCGTAGTAAAAAGCACCTTTTTCATTCCTAGCCAGGCTTAAGGGGCCGTTTCTCACATGCTCTGCACAGGAGAAGTGTTGACTCACAGTCAGGTGGCCTCACACTTTTGAGCTAATTTTCCATGATCAGTGTTGGGTTTGCCTACTTCATCCCTTGTGTTCACTTGAAGGTGTTAAAGTCCTGGCCATTGCCCAGTGTGAACCAAGCTGGCCTTTCAAGGCAGCAAGCTAGTGTCGGTGGCCCAGCACTGCAGCTTGTCAGTGGCAGAAGGGACTCTGAAGGCTGTCAAAATCAACACTGCTGGCGCTTGCATCCCTCCCACCCCACCCTCATGGAGCTTGTCGTTCCCCTGAGTTACATGCCTGCACTTGAGAGGGCAGTCATGCTCCTTCTGGAGTTCCCAACTGGTCTTTTGCAAATGGCCCCCATATGCCTGGGAGTACCAAGAGTGACCACCCAACTCACACTGCCCCCTTGGCATTGTTCCACAGTCACACCCAATGCGTGCAAGCACTGGGGGGTAGCTCTGTTTGCTATCTTCTCCAGGGCCTGGTGCAGGACTGGGCACATAGGCACTCAGACATTGTTGCTTTTCATCCAGTTGAATGCACAGGTTTTGTGATGGGTTTTGTATTTGTCAAAACTCCCTGATCTCCCATGCCACTGACTAACTGAACCCTTTTCTTAGCTTCTTTGCGAGGGATGCAGGAGGTCCTACAGAGAAAGGCGCTTCTTGCATTTCAGAGGTGAGTGGGAGTTCATCTTTTCACTCGGCTGTACATAATGACACCAAAGTATGATGAGTATAAAAAGAAGAGATATTTATAAAGATTATGTAAACAGTGTTTTACCCCTGAGAGTCTTTCGTCCTGAGCACTGAACACACAGCGTGCAAACCCTGCTACGTCACTTGTTGCTGTATCAATCTGCACTCTTAATCTGTTTATCCATTTGGGCACATTTTATTCATTCCTAATGAAGTGACTTCAGCTCGAAAAAGACAGATACTTTGTATGCCGAGGGAGATGAGTCCTTTATTAAAGACATTTGTCATCATCTAGAGAAGAGATTATTCTTTTCTAGCTTTTTTTTTTTTTTTTTTTTTAACATGTCAAGCTGCAGGTTTTTGTATTAAGGAATGAGAAGGCCGATTTCAGGAAGTCTCTGAAATACTGCGTGAAGACAGTGAGCCCCAAACTCCCCGCCCCCACCTTGTTCCATAACACTTTGTGCTTCTCTCTGTCATTGTGCCTCTCAGGAAATTAGGAGAAGGCCTTGCAATTATAAAATGCTCGAGCGTCACAGTGTGCCTTCATATCCCTTATTTAATTTGTTGCTCACCACACACAAGTAAGAAAGACAGACAGACAATATGTCCCTTGCAGGTCAGGGACTGAGGCACAGGAGTTACAGGAGCTGCCGGTCCCGCAGCTGTTGAAGTCAGTATGTGGTCAGGGTCTCCTGACTCCAACCCAGTTTCTCCTGCCCCACCATACTACATTGCCCTCATTTTATTCTCATTACAGGTATAATCACAAAAATGAAATTATCTGGAAGTATAGCCCTATGATGTGAAATCTAGAATTGGTATTGATGCTGTCACTTTAAATGTATCTGAGTTACACTGATTTCTTGGAATTGTATTAGAAACTTAGATACTTACATGGACATTTCATGAGGCCTTCCTAATACCTGACAAGCTTTGTTAGACTCTTTCCTTAGAACTGGGGCTGCCTACCAATTTATCATGGTGTCCATGTGCCTTTTTTCATGAAATCATGATCACTGGTTTCGGTGAGTCTGAAACTCTTCCGTCTCATTTCTGTTTCCTAGCAGCCTTGCCGGTAGCTACTTCAGGTTGCCAGCCCCAGTCTGGGTAATGATAAAAAGTACCAACTGACATCTGCAAACAGATCTCCTGTCTCTGTGCTAAGCTTTTGTTGATGTTCTTCAGCACGGAGTGTGGAAAGCATTTCCATTTCAAATGATTTGGAGATTTAAATTCTCCAGTCCTAGTTTGTAGAACCCACACATGGATGCTTAAGAAAGTGGTCATTACATCTGTTTCACTTTTCTTAAATCAGCACATCTTACTGGCTCTCTAAAAACAGCCACAGTGGTGGTCTGCCTTGAGCTGCCAGTATAACTTCATGTTATGTAACAGCTGCTCCATTGGCCTGAATTCTTTTTTGTTCGTCTTTTGCTTAAGTTTAAATTCAAAGAGATTTTTAAAATATTAGTTCATATGGGAATAAAGAGTAATAAAATCCCACTAACCTAACTGATGATATTGCAGAAGGCTAACCTAAATTAGAAGTTGTGTGAAATATAGAATGTTTTTCAAAGGAATGTTTTTCATTTTGTTTCAAGTACACAGTAACTAGGACTATTCTAGTGAATTGCAATCCTAACCAACATCTTTAAGGGAAAGATTTTAAGTAAATAAAAATGATTTGTATTACTTCTTAAATGTAAATGGATAATTTAAAACTACTTTGATGAGAAGTACTTTCTCTACTATGTATTTTAAATATCCTCCCCACAATTCTGTTTATACTAATGTTTTGCATTTTTTGTTTAAAAAGAAAACACAATTCAAGAAGGGATGGGGTTGCAGATATAGCACAAGAAAGTTAACTCTTCATTATGACTGGAGCCATAATTCAGAAATATTTGTTCTCTAGTGGATCCAAAGAGGTGATTTTTGAAGACATCCAGGTTGGGCGGCTGCATCTGAATGTGAGACCCTCAGCTGTTCCTACACTCATAAGCTCAACCCAAGCAGCTGAACCAATTCATTTGCCCTGTACAAAAGTATAGCGAAGAAGAACACAATATTGTTTGCAAAGCTTCTGAAGATGCTGAATTGATCTGAGTTGCTTCTTCTGCAGGCTCTCACATCCTACTGAGAAAAGCAATCCTGAAAACAGTTGAGAGCGCCTTTCATTGCATGGCCCACAGTATGCATAAAGCCTGGTGCTCCAGGAGGCAGGGGTGGCATGGTGGTGGTTGTGTTTATCACTCATTGTGGCATAGGGTACACAGTCTTGCTTTGTTTTCCCCTTTCTCTCCTAACTCGAGTTTAAGTGTGGTATGATTTGTGCATATAGGGTGATGAGCCATCCCAATCTCTTGAGGACTGAGTGGTTTCCCAGAACATGGGACTTTCAATCCTAAAATCAGGAACATCCTGGACAAACCAGGACAAGTTGGTCACCCTCTGTGTGTGTAACTAACGAGAGATTCCTGAGCAACAGATTTAACCAGGGTTTGCACTTTTAAAAAAACTTAATGCACGAATCCAATGGGCCCTGTAATCAGGACTGAAGGGGAATTCAAGGAGAATTGGCTAAACAAGGCAGCAAGGTGACAGTGTACAAAGAACGGGCTTTGCAATCATGTGCTTTCCACTCCACTTCTGGCTTTCTCTCATTTACTGGCTGTTTTTGGACAAGAAGCTTAATAGTTGATAACTTCACAAACCGTAGTTATTATTGTTACAAGATATATGCCTTATGGACTAGGGTCAACATTGATCAGCCTTCTCTATATTCTTGGTTCAGCTCTAGAGAATGTTGGAAATGGAATCTAGGAGAGCCCTGGGGTAGATGCCACAACATCCTTGGGTTTTAGCCAGGTGATCTGGGAAGCCCATGCGACCATGTGAAGCTTTCCAGTAGCAGCCCAGCATGCCTATCTCTGGGCACTGCTCCTACTGCACTGTCATGATGGTCATTTTGGGTCTCTCCCTCTGGAGTGGGGGTGGGAGCTCATCAAGGAAAGGCACTAACATGATTCATCTCCATGCTCCTCAGAAGTTAGCATAGGCCCTGGTGTCATATTAGAGATACTGCATAATGTGGATGCATGGATGGATGGATGGATGCATGGATGGATGGATGGATGGATGGATGGATGGATAGTTGGATGGTGGGTGGATGGATAGGTGGATGGGTGGGTGGTTGGATGGGTGGATGGGTGGGTAAGTGGATAAAAGGATGAGTGGGCTCTTCTTCATAGGAGAGAAACTGAATTAATCATGTGGAGGTGCTTTGAGATAAGGGAAGCGTTTTGTGAGCATCCCTGTGGTGACATTTTTAGGTCTTTTAGGTATTTCTGAGCAGTCTAGCCACGTATTCAGTATATGGGCACGGGGTTTATGAGGCTGCTTTAGATTCATGTACATACTTCAGAAGGCTTGCAGTTCTTCTGATTGCTGATGTCCTTTCTCTCACCTGCCTTGCCTGAGGATTTCTGTCCTGCGAGTTGCCTGTGGCATACCAAAGTAGCTTTCCCACAGGAAGCTTAGCTGCTGAAGTTGCTCTGTGGGAAGCAAGTATTTCAGCATCTACTTGGGATCAACACAGGGAGCTTTTTCTTGTTTTGTTTGGCATTTTCCTTATTTCCTTTTTTCCTTCAGTGGGTAAAGTGGTCAGTTGAATTCATTAGCCAAATTGTAGAAATAAGGTTTTTAAAATGTGTATGTTTCAGTTGTGCCTCATTAGAAATTTGGCAGTTGAATATGCATCATTAGCCAAGTTGGAAATCCTTCAGATGTTGCCCTAACGCACTCCAGAAATACCAAGATCTCTAGCACTGCTGGTTTATTCCTTTCACGGTGCTGTGGTTAACAGAGAAAAATCATTTGATGAGGCCAGCATGGGGTCTTTAGCCAGAACTATCTTTATGCACACCCTCAACTCAAAAGATCATTGCCAGCCCTTCAGTTGGTTGGTGTTGCATAGAGGCAACCATGACTTGATTTATTTGTGAAGAATATGAATTGAACTGAGAAAATTATAACTCTAAGAAATTCTTTTTGAGAGTTGTATAAACTTTATTATTTGTGAAGGAAGATAAAATAAATCAAAAAATTTCTTCATAATTGTGTATTCTTTTTCCTGAATAATTATGAGAGAGAAACCATGATTTTTCAATCTCACTGTTATAAACACCAAAGAAAAATATTCTTTGATGTACAAATTCATGGAAAGCCAATGTTTGTAAAATTTTAAAAGTTGCTACATACTAAGTGGACTTTAGAAATAAGACATTTAGTAGCTGGGCGTGGTGGCTCATGCCTGTAATCCCAGCGTTTTGGGAGGCCGAAGTGGGAGGATCACTTGATCCCAGTAGTTCTAGACTAGCCTGGATGACATGTCGAAACCCCATGTCTACAAAAAGATTTATAAATTAGCTGGGCGTGGGGAGCACGCCTATGGTCCCAGCTCCTTGGGAGGCTGAGATGGGAGGATCGCTTGGGCCCTGGGAGGTTGAGGCTGCAATGAGCAGTGACATGCCATTTCACTCCAGCCTGGGTGATAGAGTGAGACCCTGTCTCAAAAAAAAAAAAAAAAGAGAAATAAGACATGTAAAAGGATAACACAGGCAATATCAGCTTCAGCCTCTTCAACTAAGCTAAGAAAGGTCCTAAGGCTATGTCTTGAGGCCAAGTGAAGATTCCCCTGGACTGAAAGTCTAGGTGCTTTGCTCTTAAGATTAATATAAGGACAGAGATTAGCTTTGCCTTACCCTGGACCTGCACATGAGCTACTACGTTTGCATAAATAGTGCCCTAAACTGGTGGACTTAGCATGTTTTCTGGATGGCAAACACCTGGGAGGCTTATTAGTTCCCTTCCCTGCAGCAGACAATTCAATTAAAAGACCTTATTATTGTAGAAAGCCATCTTTGGCCTGTTTGCCACAGTTGAATCCATAATGATTTGGTTTTCTTTTTCATCTCAAATTTGTTTTCTGCTGGTAGAAGAGCCTCCTTTAATCACAGAATGTTGACAGAACAGCATGAAGTTTTGTTTACTATCTGGATCCCACCTAATTAGTCTGCTCCATGGTGCCTTTTAAAGAAAGTAGAAGTTTGTTTTTCTCTTCCCAGCAGACTTAAACACAGAATTATGTCTTGTACGTAGTCACATTTGAGTTGCTGATGCTGAAATAAAAATGACTTCCACATAGAAGCAGAGAAGACCACGTTGGCAATCAGCTAGGAGGCCAGTATGGTCCCTTCCTGTCTGATGTCAGTTCTTAAAACTGAGCCTGGTGTCTCACCACACTCTTACACATCACAGTTATCTGGAATAAATCAGTGAACGGCATGGAATTTTGTAGAAGCTTCAAAAGACTGAATGAGTGTCTTTCTCTTCCCTTTTTCCACCAAAAACCAAAACCTCATTTTATAAGCAAAGCTGCGTCTTTGATTTTCATATGGTTTCTCTGAAATCTAGAAATTTGGATAAAGTAGCATTAAGGAAGGCCGAGCCAAACTTAACCAAAGCAGCCATCGCCTTGCCAAGTGCACACATGGCTTCACTGTGTCCCAGCACAACACAGGGGCCCATCTGCTGGGGAGATCAGGCCTCAGGGCCTGTGGATTCTTCACCTCGAGGCCCTCTGCAAAGCCGACAAACTGTGGCTGCCATTTTAGATGCTAGACAAAACGCGCTCCTGTTCTGTACCTTTACACACTGGTAAGAGGGAAACTGTTTACATGTGTAGGTGGACAAAGAAGAAGAGTTTAAATGAAGCATTACATAGTTAAATAAATATGGGGCCTTAGTATAAGAATGCAAATGTGGAAAAGACTTGTTTGATAGGGAAAGTAAAAATGGCCTCCTCTCCATGTACTAATAGCCATAAATACTTTTTCAGGGCCCACAGCCTGTCACCCACAGATCACCAAGCAGCTTTCTACCTGGCTCTGCAACTTGCCATCTCCAGACAGGTCAGTTTCTCTAGTGTTTCCTATGCTTGCTGCACTCTATATCTTGATACAACTCCTCCAGCTCTTCAGTTTGAAATGGTAGGTGATCTTCCTTTATTCCATCGAGGCTGACCTGGAGCCAGGAACCCTTCTCAGAGGTTTCAGCAAAGAGCCTGTTGTTTTGGTTGGTTTGAGCATCAGCTGTGAAGACGCAGGAGTTCCCAGCTCTGCTGTTGGACATTAAATCCACACAGCTGGAGGGCCCAAGCTAGGGTCAGATGGCAACCTGGGGAGCAGCACATGGCATATACCCTGAACCCAGGAGTCATCAAAGAGCCTTTGTCCCTTGCCAACAGGAGCCAGGTAGCAGAACCCAGTGCTGAGCTGCATGGTGGGGATTTAGCCACTGATTGGGGTCTGGTTATCATAAGGGTATCATTTACTGGCAGGAAGATGCCAGCAGGCAGAGACAAAAGAACCAGGTCCTTTACAATACGTGGAAGACATGAACAGTTCTCCGCTGTGGCTACTCAAAAAAGGGGACTTAACACTATCTCCTTGCATGAGGGGCAAGTTTTGCCAGCCTTTGTCTTCCCCAAGGCAGCTTTTAGATGTTGCCTCTGCCATTCCTCCTATCCCCTCCCAGCTGTTCTGGGGATGTTGGCCACATGCCTGCCCACCCACCAGGTGCAAGACACTGGTGGTAACCCCAGCACATTCCTGAGTGCTGACTGGGAGGGTGATTCAAAGGTCAGCTCTCCAGACATGCCATTCCCCTGGCAGGCCTGGGCTGAGGTATGCACCTGTCTTCCTGGTTGCTTGGGAATGGCATTGAGAAGTGGCTTCCATTGGCAACCTAGGGACAGAGGAAACCAAGATACCGCCCCTATAGAGGTCCTGTCACCTGACTATGGCTCACAGCTGGGCTTCTGCAGCAGGTGTGGGCATTGATTGACCATCTGATCTCTCCCCTACGCCGACAGCTTCTCTCACCTTCTCCATGAAGCTTTCGTCCTGTAGCAGCCTGTACTTCTTCCTTTTGCCCTGCTTTCTTGTTCAGTATCTTTCTCACTGGACTGTAGGTTCCAGGAACCCATGCCCGTCGTTGTCATTGCTTTACCCTGGCACTTGGAATGCTGCCTGGCATGTGTTCAGCACTCAGGAATACTCGCTAAATGAACGAACCAGCTTTGAATTCCTTCAAGGCATCATTTTGATCCCTGTATCAGTTTGTCCCTGGTTGCCCTGGTCATCCCTGCAAATCAACATCATGCGTATGCTGTGCCTTTCAACCCACCTGTCAATACCAGGTTGAGTGCTGTTCACACAGTAGGCTGTCACCTGGGGAAGGATGAGTAAATGGAGCCTTGTGGGTGTGGCAGCAGCCTTTGTGGGCATGTGGTGTCAGAACACCAGAGCTCCGAGGGAGTGTTTACCGAGAGGGGCGGGGGGGCGGTTTGACCAGTAGGAGAGGAGGACAGGAATCACTCCCTTGTCAGACACTCATAGCTGGGTGACCTTGCCCAAGCCATTTCACCTCCCTGGACTTCAGCTTCCTCCCTGTAACTGAAGGATTGGGTGGATGGTCTCCCTTCCAACCGTGAGAGCTGTGATTCTATGGTTCCAAAGCAGAAAGCCTCCACCAGCCAGCAGTTATAACCTAAATCCATCAAGAAAAGAAGTTCATTGAGGAAAAGTAATTGGTTTGGGAAGAGAAGTCATGGCCTTCTACTATGGAGGGAAGTTACTGAGGGTTTGGGAAAAAGCAGGAGAGCTAAGAAGAGGCCCCACAGAGGACTGGAGTTGGAGCAAGACAGGAAGGCATCTGTGGGATGGTTGTGTAAGAATGGTTCAGTCCAGAGCTCTATTTGAAAATCTAGCTTCGGGTTCTAATCCTCCCTGGTTACTGCCAAACCTGCACGGAATCCAGGGTATCAAATACCCATTGTGTGTGCATTTTATCAACCCTTGTGCTTGGATGATTTTGAAGAAAGTCTCGAACAGCTGTTGCATTTAAAGGTTCAGGTTGTGTCTGGTCCTACATGAAGTTGGACACATCTGCTTTGCATGTGGCATTGCAATTTGTTTCTCAATCAACTTATTTTGGGCTGTAGTTTGGAAAGGTGTGGGGCCTTTGTTTGTTGTTTACTGTTTTGGCATGTTTCCTTGATGTCTAATGGAGGTCCAAGACAAAGGAACCTGCAAAGAACCACAGGCCTCTGATCATTTGGAAAGCTCTGCTAAAGGTTTTATAACTTATTAAGCACTTTAATTTCAGTAATACTTGAAAAAATGAGAACAGTTAAGCTAAGGCAGTTTAATTCCACTAAAAACCTCTGACACTTTGTATGTGTCTCCACTTAGAGCAAAATCATCGTGAGCATAATCAGAAGTAGATCAGTTTTGTGGACAGAACGAGAAAGTGTTTACTTAGGGAGAAGGGAAAGACTTGGAGCAGCATTGGCAGCTATGTAGAGAAACAGGGTCTCCTGTATCACTCTGTCACTCAGAATGTCTCTCGAAGGCGGCTTCCGTTTTCATATTTGTGGTTAATATCCTGGGGCTGCCATAAAGACTTGGCTTAAAATGCGAATGAGGCACAATGTGAAACAACTTGATATTTAAAGAGAATCAGACATTGAAATGATGGCTTCTTTTATGTGTGTGTGTGTGCACGTGTGCGCGCGTGTGTGTGTAAAACCTTTTTTGGTTTTGTTTTAAACCAGATCCCAGAGGCTCTGGGGTATGTCCGGCAAGCTCTTCAGCTTCAAGGTGACGATGCCAACTCCCTGCACCTCCTTGCCCTCCTGCTGTCAGCACAGAAGCATTACCATGATGCTCTGAACATCATTGACATGGCCCTGAGCGAATACCCAGAAAATTTCATGTAAGTGATCCTGGGCTTCAGTTTTCCCTTACTTGGAAGTTATTAAATTTACTTCTTCCCCTGCCTTCTCTCCAGTCTGTCTAAGTCCCTCACCGACACCCTGGCAGTCAATAATATAAAATTCCCTTTACTGTTATTTCTTCCTGATATTAAAAACAAACAGGGCTGGGCGCAGTGGCTCACGCCTGTAATCCCAACACTTTGGGAGGCCAAGGTGGGTGGATCACCTGAGGTCAGGAGTTCAAGACCAACCTGGACAATATGGTAAAGCCCTGTCTCTACTGAAAATACAAAAATCAGCTGGGTGTGGTGGCGGGCGCCTGTAGTCCCAGCTACTTGGGAGGCTGAGGCAGGAGAATTGCTTGAACCTGGTAGGTGGAGGTTGCAGTCAGCCGAGATCGCACCACTGCACTGCATTCCAGCCTGGGCAACAGAGCAAGATTCCGTCTCAAAAAAAAAAAAAAAAAAAAAGCTGTTAGGTCATCCTAATGTAGTATTAGGTCATCCTTATTTATTTAAAATACTTTATCCACTCTTTCCCAATGTGTACCATTGGAGCACATGAGACAATTTTAAATGGACTGTGAATGAACACTTTTAGTAATTATACGTTCCTTTTTTTTTTTTTTTTTTTTGAGACAGAATCTCACTCTGTTGCCCAGGCTGGAGTGCAGTGGCCTGGTTTCAGCTCACTGCAACCTCCACCTTCCAGGTTCAAGTGATTCTCCTGCCTCAGCTTCCCTAGTAGCTGGGACTACAGGCACCTGCCACCACGCCCAGCTAATTTTTTGTAATTTTAGTAGAGACGGGGTTTCACCATGTTGGTCAGGCTGGTCTTGAGCTCCTGACCTCGTGGTCCGCCCTGCTCAGTCTCCCAAAGTGCTGAGATTACAGGCATGAGCCACCGTGCCCGGCCTAGTTACACATTCTTAAATGTACGTTAGAATGTAGTGATTTGGTGAAAATTATTGCTCAAGGGACTATTAAGATATTTCCAAGTCAATTTAAAGAAAAATATTAAGTGAATACTAACACAGATATACTTGGATATGGCAAAAGTGATGTTAAACTCCAATGGGTGAAATTTGGGAAACAGGGCGTTATAGCTTGTTTGTCCTGAGTTACTGAGGGCTTGTTCCACTAGGTCTCAGTGATTCTCCTATTTTAGGCGACTGTGATCAAGATACCTTCCCTCTCTGTGTCTTAGTTTTATTCTCTAGGGAATGGAAGTTCTTAAACAATGAGTATTATACATCCCCTAAGAACTATCACTGTAAACTGTCTTATGCTAGGGTCATCTACCTACCTTCTTATCTTTCCTCTGAATCACTGTAATCCATTGCCCGTTGGTTAGGCTTTGTTGAGAAGGGCTTTGTGTTTTGGGCTACTGGGTTACCATTTCATCCTCAGTGTCGGTAGCTTAGTAACCAGTACACAATGTCCAGAAATAGTAAACATTCCTGCACGCTGGAAGGTTCTGATTGTCTACGGAGTTGCAGGGTCAGTAATGGGGCAGGGACTGCTTGGGGTTGGGGAGAAGGGAAAGAATGTAGAAGGTGGCCCGGGGTTGCTCTCTTCACTTTCGGAAGTAAGTGCAGCCACAAACTAAGTGGGTCAGCTCTGGCTTTATTTCACTGCCTCATCACCTCACTGTGTTTTTAATCAGTGCTTTTCAGCTGCTCTCCTTGGAAAATTGGTTCACACATTTCCATTACAAACATTTCTTTGTCTTCAAGTGAAAAGGGCACTTCTCCCCATCGAGAGAATTCTTGTTATAATCCAGGAAACCTCTGACTAGAGATTTCTTTTGTAGGCTCAGCTATTTATGCAGAGTGAATTAAAGAGCTTTGCTGCAGTGTTTTACTTCTTGCAGATCTCCAGCTTGCTCTTTTGTACACCATCTATATTTCTGGATTTTACCCCAAGCTGTTGATCCTTAAAATGGTTAAAGCACTTTAAAAAATATTTGATCTTTTAACCATCGATAAATACAACCCGATACAATTGAATTCAGTGTCTCTCATCAATATTTATAAAGCGTCATTCCCTGTCTCACCCTCGAACACACACACACACACACACACACACACACACACACGCTCTTTCATTAGGCATTGGACTCCAGGGTATGGTTTCTGCTTCCACAGCCTAGGGTATCATCCAAGAGGAGGCTTATTAAGCTAATAGCCATACCACATGGTAAGCAGTAAACAGTGGTGGCTAATATGGTAATGCCTCCAAGTGACAGCAGCTGACAGCCTTTTCAAGTAGTAGAAGTAAGGAACAGCAGTAGAGATATTTGAGGAATGCAAGGCTGTTATTTTAATGTTAAGCCGTAAGCTCAAAAAAGCAAAGCATATGGCAGCAGGTCTGAGAGCAGTCCGTGACTTGTTTGCTTTTTAAATATTTGTATTTCTTTGCGATGGGAAACTTCTTCCTAAGAATACTTTATTAAAAGTTGGGGCCAGATGTAATCAGTGGATCCCATGGTTTCTTCCCAGCCTGGCCAAAACATTTCAACACCAACCTAAACAAGACTAAGTGGGCACTTGTTGCAACTGCCATGTAGTGTTATCTGTTTGTTTGTGACAAGCTTGTCTGCAGCAGAACCGTAGACTGCTGAAGCCTGGGAGTGGAGGACATGGTTAATGGGTAGTCAGGCCTTGATGGAGGTTTTGATGGAGGTGAAACCTTCCCTCCGTGAGGGTCAGCTCCGTCCACCTGTTGGACAGTTACCAGAGGAGACAGCTGGTCCCTCCAGCGTTACCTTCCTGTCACCACGAAATGATAAATCTTGCTGTTTAAGTACTTTGAATAAGCTTAACAGGGTCCAAAAAGTTCTAAGCTGAGAGGTACCAGCTCAGCCACTTTGTCACTCCAAGCAGGGCCGAGACAACAGTAGAATCAACAATTGAGAAGATGTTTCTAACTGTAGGGATTTGTGAGAATCAGGAATTCTTTCTTCAGGGAACCCCCCAAATAAGCTCACTACTCTGGAGAAGCAGGCATTTTTGGAAGTGTTAGAGGGTTAGTCCAGTATGGAAGGAAAGGAACGGGGAAGGCTTTTTTGTAGTGGGTGAGAGCACAGTCTTACAATGGGACAAGTCTAGTTTAGAACTCCAAATCCTTCCCTTTTACGTTGTGTGACCTTGAGCAAGTCACTAAATCTCTCTGAGTCTCATTTCCTCATCTACAAAATGTGAATAATAAAATATCCATCTCAGAGGGTTGTGGTCAGAATTGATTTAGCTAGTGCATTTGAGGCATTGTGTCTGGTAATCACCTAATAATGGGTAGAAACTCATATTTCTAGGACTATTACTACTGATACTACTAAAGTGTGTTCAAATATGGTATTTTAGAGTCCTTTAGAATTGTTACTAAATATTGAATAAAATCAAATGAATATTTATTAAATATATCTAAAATCATACAATGAACGTATGTGTTTGCCTATTGTTAGTTTAGGAAAAAGAACATTAATATTACCTGTGAATTTCCTGTGTAGATTTATTTATACATATATACTTACACGTATTTTCAACATGTATATGTATTTCCTATGTATATGGATTTTCCGTGTAATATTGCCAATGACTTTTCTCTGTATCCTGTCCTTTTGCCTCTCGCCTGACACGTTAATCACCATTCTAAATTTTATGTTAATCATTCTCTCATGTTTCTGTACCATGTATATTGTGCTTTTTTCTTTTTCTTTTCTTTTTTTTTTTTTGAGACAGGGCCTCACTCTTATCACCCAGGCTGGAGTGCTCAATGGATCCTTCCACTTCAGCCTCCCGAGTACTGGGAACGCAGGTGTGTGCCATCATGCCCAGCTAATTTTTGTATTTTTCGTAGTGATGGGGTTTCACCATGTTGGCCAGGCTGGGCTCAAACTCCTGAGCTCAAGCGATCCACCCGCCTCAGCCTCCCAAAGTGCTGGGATTACAGGCCTGAGCCACTGCCCCCAGCGTGTACTCCTAAATAATAACAATTGTGTTTCTCCTGTTTTAAACTTGTGGTAGAAAATGGAATCAGACTGAATATGTCCTTATGCTGCTTGCGTTCATTGCTTAACATCCCATTCCTGAGGCTCCTCCTTGTTGCACACAGCAGTGACTCGTTGGTTTGCATGAATGAATAGTATTTATTGTGTAAATGCACTAAGATTTCCTTACTTAGTCTACTGTGAATAGATACGTGGGTTGTTTTCAGGTTTTGGCTATTATGAACAGTGCTTGTAAATATTTTTTACAGGGCTCCTGGTGCACACATTCAAGGATTTCTCTATGAGTGAAATGGTTAGGTCATAGGATGTGCGTATCTTCAACTTTACCAAATACTTCCAAACTGTTTTTCAAAGGGGTTGTGTTAGTTTACACTCCCATCAGCAGCGCCCAAGACCCCTGTGGTTCCATACACCAATACTTAGTGCTGCCCGACTTCGTATTTTTGGCAGAATGGTTGCTGGTAAATGATGTCACCTTGTGAGTTTAAGTTTCGTGTCCTTCATTACTAATGAGTTTGGACATCTTTTTGTCTATTCGTCATTCAGCTTTTCTCTTTTGTGAAGTGTATGTGAAATTCCTTCTTTTTTATTGGATGGTCTTTTTCATTGGATGGTCTTTTTCTTAATAATATTTCTTTATATATTATGGTTACAAGTCTTTTTCTTGGTTATACGTGTTGCAGAAATCTTCTCCCAAGCTGTGATTTTGTTTGCTTTCTCTTCATGATGTCTTTTGATAAACAGAAGTTCTTAATTTTAAAGTAATAGAAAGTAGAAGTCGTTTCCTTTATGGACAGTACTTTCTATGTCTAGTTTAAGAAACCTTTCCCTTCTCCAAGATCACGAAGGTAGTCTCCTAAATCATCTTCTAAAAGCTCTTGTGTGCTGTCTTTCACACTGAAACCTAAGGGCCCACCTAGAATGGACTGTTTTATGTGTGTATGGTATGAGGGAGCCAGTGTAATTTTCCCCATAGGATATTCAATTGTCC